TAATTGTAATACTACAAAGTTGATAAGCCAAGGAGATATAGTGTCCAAAAGTCAAGCACGGTCAACAAAAATTGAACGTTCAAAAACATATGAAAATTATTGTAAAAAGGTCTGTGTGGAAAACCGGAAAAATGCATTTATCCAAGGAAAATTGCTGCCTGAGGTATGTTAATTTTGTAGCTACCATAAATAGTTATGTAGCTGCCTGAGCACGTATTGGTTATTAGTAATGATCACATTTATATTAAAAGATTTATTATATTATACAACATTTATAATCTCGTCACATTTATGAATGAATCGTATCAGTAACGAGGACTTACTGAATTTTCGGACTCCAAGAAAATCAAGTATTTCCGAATATGCTTTCGTGACCATTTATTCCGTAAAAATATTCATCTACAATTCTGTCCGCCTATAGTTTTCACCCACTTTTTCATTTTAAACCAAATTAAACTACAAACACGAAAAGTATAGTTTTATATTTGATTAAAGTGATAAGATATTTCTACAGTGTAGTTTTGGCTCGCTCTCTCCCTGTTTATCGTTGTAATGGATTTGTTGTTGCAATCTGATTCGGCGGCGGCGTGGGTGTAATTGCTATCTGTCGTTGCTGTTCAGTGAACTTTTCACTGGCGAATTTGAACTGTGCGGCAGATCGCCTTCCGTTTTTCCACGGCGCGCGCCGTGGTGCGGGGGCGGGGGCGAGGCGAAGGGCGGTTAACGAGCGGTTCGCCGCCCTTGGTCATTATCGCCGTCCCAGGCGCTGCGGCGGCGGGGCGCGAGGGGCGGGGCGGGGAGGGGACGGAAGGGGTGAGCGGGCGCTGTCAACGCCGCCGCCGCCGCGACTTTGCACTGTCCGCAGCCGCCGGACACGGTCCCTCGACGCTCTCTGCTCCCCTCGGCGTCGGGGCTGCGCTGGCCATTCCACCCAACGCCCATCTGCCGGCTACGGACGCTCAGTTCGTCATGGAACGAAATCTTGCAGTATTGTACACAGTTTTCACCACTCATACATGGTACTGGTACTTGCTTTTTTTTCAATGATTGGAAAGTGATACTCTGCGATACGCGTACGACAAAATGCGACTTCGCTGTACCACAAAGAAGTCACGGACATAAACTACACGAACCGGGTACTGCATTAAAAACGAAATTCTGTGGCGACGTGAATAAAAATGGCTGCCATCTCGCATACTGAAAATAATTTCAAGAGAATATATACTAAGAATATTAGTAAGCTTCCATGAATTCGTACTAAAAAATAATGGACCTAACTTGTTCGAAAATGCCTTTCTCATTTCGACATATCATTCGTACACCAAATACTTTCTGTACTAGAAACTTAAATAACTTTTTAACACGCATTTTGAAAAATATAAGAATAATATTTTAAATTTTAAAACGCGCGTTTTGAAGCAAACGTTTTGAATACAACTTGAACGGTTTCTTATTTCATTGCAGTTATCGTGGCTTTCCAATTTCAGCACCCTAGAGCACTGCAACGCAAACCTTGCTTTGCTCCTCAGTCGTTGTTGCAACCTCGCAGTGCACAGGGAGCGCCAAACAACAGTATTTTGTCTCTGATTCTTACATTATTCGTTAGGTTTATTTTTATTTAATTCTGAGATATAACAATGATGATGATTATATCAGGTGCTGTGAGCAATGAAAATAAAGAAAAATATGTGGCGGAAGAAGCGACAGAGGAAACAGGAGAATTCCAAGGAAACCTACCTCCCGCTGTGATTACCAAAGTTTCTTTCGGATCGTCCGAAGTTTCAATCCCGGTATCCGAAAGGGAAAATGTACTGGTCACTGCAATATGGAGAGCATTATTCTCTTAATTCTGGTATATTTATGAGGCCTAGGAATATTTGCAAGCAACTTTATTGTTGTTAACCCCTTAGGTTCGACTTTAGACATAACGGTAGACACTTCGAAACTAATTTATTATGGGAAACATTTCACATATTGAGTGGTTTTCGAATTTGTAACTGTTAAAGACCATATTTAAGAATACACAGCTCCACAGATGTTCATTTCAAGAGACGAGAGAGAGTAATACAGCACACCTAGAGTTTTTTAAAATTTAATTTCTTATTTTCTAATCGATTGCCTAAATATAAAGAAAAATTGTATGAATTGCTTAAGTCAAAATGATTTATCGTTATCTAATTGGAATACATACACATTTTCTAAAAGAATATTAGTATTATATTAAGGTTATGGGAAGGAAATCTACTTCAGGCAAAATAATTTGTAGTAATATGTAATCGTGAACTTCCACAACAAAAAATGCGTTCGGATGAAATCACATGAATATGTGCCTAAATATTTAGTACCCACTTTAATTATAAAGCTCATTCTAGGGAAGTAATTAACCAACAATTCTAGGTTTCTATAATTCAACAATTCTATCATTTAAAACAACCTTATGCTATAAATTACATCATTATATCTACACATTGAATTCAATCCACAAAACTTTCAATAAATATCTTTTGTTCATCAACAGTTAAAATGTAGCTTTACTATGCGCACGTTTTGTTGAACTCTCCTTTTGCTTGTAGTGATAGGAGGTAAGGGCGAGCTTCTGTTTTGTTAGCAATGCAGAAAATCGATTCAGCTGTTCATTTACCGTAGCAAAAACGTTTTCTATAACTCGGGAACAAAAATGTCTAGTTTCTCAAATGTCACTAATCGCACTTTTTTTAAATTTTATTTTATTTATTTATCTTTAACTTTTACTCATCTTTCAACCATTAATAGCTAAAATGATGGGAAGGCATTCTGGATCTCAAGAAAACGTGTGCAGTTTATTTTCTCCCCCATGCGTCACATACAGCATTTGACTAAATAAATCTAATTCTAAAATCAAAATAAGTTTTACTTGAACCGTGCATTCTCCGATTTTTAAGTGAATATATTTTTTTTTAATTGTTATTATTTAATTTTAAAGGAACATTTAGTAGTCTACACTTACAACGTAATTGGTTAGTGATGAACGAAGCAAACATACCCGATGTATATTTCCATTAAATAATTTAGATCACATTTAGAATAGTTATCAAATTCGATAAGTTATATCAGCTGCAGATGCGGGTAGCAGAGATTGCTAAGGCAGTAGTGACGTGGCGATCTGGGACCTAAGGATTGTGAGTTCGAATCCCGCCTCGGGCATGGTTGTGGTTTCGTGATCGTGTGTGTTGACTACGTGTAATGTGCTTGTGTGTCCCCAGTGGTTGGCGCTAGGAAGGACATCCGAATCGTCGCCCAATCAGTATAAAAATGGAATTGCGCGAAAAGTTAATAAAACTGAGCTCGCCCTCGTTAGCCCCAAGCCCATAGAAACGATAAAAGGCAAAGATGAAAAAACAATCAGTAGCTTCTAGTTGTTCTGCGTCAGTTCCTTCTCAAGTATGACATAGGAAGCAGCAAATAGAATGCCTAGTTACAGGAAGTAAGTAATTAATTCTGATACATTTATTAGTGTATCAGAGACATTTAAGTTTGAAAAAACAGCACAGAAGTAACGTACGAAACATTCTTTCCTTACTCAATAATTAGTTGAGTTGCATTTTATATCACTTCAAAAGAATAAGCTGTTACAACGGAACCAGAAGTATAATTAGGAAGAAATGTTTTAAGGCGTTTCTCAAGTTATTGACTAGGTATGTGATTTTTGTCTTGTGGATTGCATCTGGACAATAATTATACTAAATACAAGTGGCAAGAAAATTAAGATGGAATATCAAATAAAGTTAAAAGTTGAAGAAACAAGAAGACATCATAAACTGTTCGAGGTTCCGCCATTCCATTATTTACAAGAATTGCTTATGAAAATGTGTTTTATGTAAATTAAGTATTCCCGATATGGTCAGTATCGACGTTCTGAGAGTCAATAAAATTTTAAAGTGAGTCAATGATGATCAAGGTGTACACTGTGAATCTAAAGCCGAATATATACCGGCGACTGGTCGATATGATCAAGATCCTATTAATTACAAGTCAAATATGAAGTTGATAATTCACTATTTTCGTAAATAAAATTTCTAAACGTAACTTATTCTTGTTTATATTTGTAAGAATTAAAAATTATAAAAGTACAAATGTAATAAAACAAATCTAGTTAAGTTAGTATTTTAAAACTTTTATTCATGTTCTTTAGATAACGGTTATCAGGGCATTTCTGAGCAAATATTTGTGTTATGATTGTTGTGTGATGTTTATTATAAAACAAATCAAGGTGGTCGATGAAGTCAATATTTTCTTAAAGGGGTTGATAAAACAATAGATTGGGAATCCCTGTAATAAATGTTAGATACGAAATGTTTCAGATAACATTTTGTATGATTTGTTTCTGGTTGGATGCAAATGGACATATTCTAAGGAGTATACTCTTACCATTAATTCAAATTAAAGTATTTTAATTTGTCTCATTTTTTAATTTAAAAGACTTAAATCTGTATATACAATAGAGAACAAACTACTACTTACTTAGATGAAACTTGGATATTGGGGATAAAAAAAAAAGATTTGTCGTGGGGTCGCCGGGAAACGGAAGCTTCTGGTCAGTGGCTGTTCACCCGCTCCGCAGGATGCATTCTTTCTCCGCCCGCTGCAACCCATTAGCAGCCAGCCGATAGCCTCCGCTAACGACGCGTCATCCCCAGCCGTGGACAAGTCCCCAGGCAGGCGGCGCGGCTAATGCCGAGCCAGTGTCACCGGACATCACAGGCGCCGCCCGCGCCGCCCGCGCCGCGCCGCCGCCCGTGAGAAGCCCGGCGCACGGGGCCCCGGGGACAGCCCCTGCGGAACTCCGCCGCGCCTTCGCCGATGCTGACGTTTCTCTCGCTTTCGAATTTTCATAATTGCCTCGTTGCACACCCTCCCTGTCAAAGTGTCTGCGCCCTTCTCGCGGCTTCTCTGTCCTCTCCCCCCCCCCCGTTGGCGTCGGTTCTCTCGTTTCTTACCTTGCTCTAATATCAGCCGTGTTGTTATTGACGCCTTTGTAGCCCATCCAACCCTTGCTGTTCTTCCAGTTTTGCTGGAACTTCCATCTTTACCTTTCCGTCCTTACCGGTACCACAGGGTCCTCTATTATATTATCATAAAACTATTCCTAAATCTACTTCCAATATTACTAATGCAACTATCGTCCCCATCTCTACCTTTCTCTCCGCTGAGCTCTGAACCGCTGTGTTGACTGTTTCCAACCCAGCCCTGGTGCACTTCTGTCCCTTTCCTGTGTCTCCCTATTCCCCGTGTCCTCCTGTCGCCTTCTCGGCCGCGTAGGGCCTCCTTTGTAGCGTAAGTGGCGCTCGTTACCGCCGCCAGCAACCAGCGGGGGTGGGGGTGGGGG